TCAAAAGAAATACAAATATCCAGTGAATACATGAAAAGACGTTCAGCTTGTTTAGCCATTAGGGAAATGCAAATTAAAACTACATTGAGATTCCATCTTATCCCCAGTCAGAATGGCAGTAATCAACGAAACAAAACAGAAAAAACCAATAAATGCTAGCAAGGATATGTGTGGGGAGCAATGAAGCCTTATCCACACTCTGTTGGTAGGACTGTTAATTAGCGGAGCCACTATGGAAATCATTATGGAGATTCCTCAAGAAATTAAAAATAGCTTTTCCAGGCCAGGGATACAGCTCAGCAGTAAAGCACTTGCCTAGCATGTGTGAGGCCCTGGGTTCAATACCTAGTACCAGAAAAAATTAGTACAAATTGAACTCCCATATGATTTAGTCATACCATTTCTGAGTTTACACCCAAAAGAATCAAAGTCAGCATACAACAGAAATATCTGTATACTTATGTATCTCATGAGGCTTTTCACAATAACCAGGATATCGAGTCAGACTAGGTGACCCAAAACATATGATTGGACTAAGAAAAGGTGTATATATACACAGTGAGGAAGAATGAAATTATGCCATTAGCAGGAAAATAGATGGAATGCTGGTGATCCTCATGGTAAGTGAACTATGAAAGACTCAGGAATCCAAATATTGCATGTTTTTTAGCATACGCAGAATCTAGCCAAAAAAGGCATGAAAGCAGAAGGGTTATTAGGAAAAAGGAAGGGATCAGTGGCGTTGGTAGGAGGGTAATGGAGGTCAATATGATCAAAGGATGCTGTATGCAACTATGAAGATGTCATGATGAAGTCCATTATTTTGTACAATTAATGTATGCTAAGTAAAAGACGGAACATATCTGGGTTGTCTCTTGAGGAAATTCCTCCCCTAGTAATTCTGTGTCTCCATCTCTTATTGTAACTTGAGGCCCAAGTAGCTCTGAAAGACAACTTCATATGATAAATTTGGTGCCACATTTTATTTGGGGGCAAAATTTGTCCTGGACTCAGTGAAATTTTCACATTTCTCCACAGAATAAAAAATGCTGCTCTAGATTGCACTGAAGGTTACTGGACACTTGATGTTTGTGCCATGTTGCATTTTGCCAGTCTCAGGTCTTCCCCACTGGAGTCTTGCTTGGCTCCAGGGCATTCAGACTGCAGGCCACAGCCTGTACTGAGTGTACACTAGGCCTGGTCCTGAACAATCCCACCTCTCCTGCTTTCCCTGATGCTCTGTGTGATAGAGGCTGCTCCTTTCCCTATTTCTGGCTGAGACATCCAGGGGTAAGGGAGTGTTGCTTCCATCCCTGGCTTACCCAGTGCCAACAACCCATCTGGAGTAGAACCTCAGCTCTGTCTACATCCAGTGCCCTCACTTGACCTGACATACTGTACTGCTTTCCTGAAGCCAGATGACATGCGGCCTTTAGTTTAGGTGGAAAAGAATGATCTGTAAAAATGGAATCATTGATTCCATTGGTAAAGAGAAATCTCCCAAGTTAGAAAATACTAGCCTGCTCAGAAGAATGAGCCCCTGTCAACAGCAAGAATGGACATTTCTGGTTACTAAACAGTTTCTCATCTCACGTTAAAAATAAAACTGTTACTTTCAAAAACTGAGATCCATATTCACAAGAATCTCCAGCCTTCCCACAGTAACCATGGTCATCAAGGGGAAGTGCCACAAGCCAATGAATGCTGTGTCATTAGGTGACCAGTGCTTTTGCAGGCTCAGCCTGGCCGTCAGTAAAGCCTGGGCAGTTTGTTTCTGTTGCTGAGGTGAGAATCATGCACTTCCCACCTCTGGTGCTGCCATATGTTCCTCCACAAGGATACCAAATTTTGTTTCAAACACTGACCTCTTTCTCCCTGGTCTCCCCTGGCAGAGTGACCAAGCTCAATTTTTAGGCCTCAGAGTTGCTGGAGAGGGGCCATGAAAAGGAATGGGGGGGTTGCTGATGCATTTTGCCTGGACGAATACTATGTGAACAGAGAGCAGGGGAGAGAACTGGAGCAGGGACATGACAGTCCTCAAGAATGAAGAAGGGGCACTTGCTAGGTGAACATCACGTTTTGCCCTTTCCATTGGGCCTAAAGCGAGAAAAACTCAGAAGGTGCGGAAGCCCCACAATTCCTGCCAACTTCATCGCAGGGACAGGGATGGAGGAAATTCTGCTCACATTCTGTCCTGACCTAGCTCCTGGTTTGGAGAACCATGTCTTAAAACCCCAGGTAACAGATCTGAAGGCTCAGGGCCAATAGGTAGGTCTAGCTCTACTCAAAGTACTTCAGATATTGTATCACATTTCATCCTCAATCATCCATTCAGCTCATATCCTTTATTTTGTGGATGAGGAAAAGCATTGGATGAGAAGGTGGGAACAAAACATTCTAGAAGTAGTGCCTCATTCATGAGGGTTTGAGTGCAGGCTCTGTAGCCAGAATTGTGGCTGTCTGATTTGCTGTGTGACTGTGGGTTACTCTGGTGAGTTCTCTGTAATTTTTTTCTCAGCATTGAATGGAATGATAAAAGCCCCTACCTCTGAGGATTAAATGCATGGAGCTCCATATAGGGCCCTTGGGCCTATATCCAGCTGGGAATATAGTGCCTAGTAGGGAGCCCAGCCTCTTACCTCTGCTGTCAGGCACCTCTGATGCCCTTTTCACACTCCTATCCTTGGAGAGCACAATTGCTTAGTGTTTTTCCTAAACGCCTTCTCCATTCCCACCTTGGCAATTGGTTAGGTGTAACTCTCATGACCTCAAACATTAAGCATTTCCCCTCTGAGCCAGCTGATCTGGCTCTGTGGCAAAACAGTCAAACTATAAACACACCCCATTGCAGATAAAAACAAAGCAAAGTGGCTCACAATGTTAGGTGGTGGCACATCTCCATGACTGCTAGTGAGAGAATTCCAGTGTTGATGCTGGTGCTCCACCCAGAGAGCCGCGGTAGTCCACGCACAGCGATGGCAACAGCCCTATAATGACATCAAACCACAGTGCTCCTGAACTGCCGACAAGGGCTTAAGCCCCAGGTGCTGCCCTGTCCCGCCTGCTGCCGATGTCTTACTGCCACTCACCCAAGCTAGCAGCTATCCCTTCAGGAGCTCTGTCTGCCTAGTGTGAAGCAGTCTGCTTGGTTAGGCTCCATGAGACCCAGGTGACAAGAGTAACTCTGGGAAGCTGTCATGTACAGCCTTGAATAAAAGGTCAGCTCCTGAAATGTGCTTCTCTGCCAAAGCACTTTACAGACATCTTCTCTTTGACCTCTTTCCAGAACGGAGAGGCCCAGTGAGAAGTCAAAGCACTGAGGACAGTCAGGAAGATGCCCTTCGAAAGGCCTGAGCCTTTCGAAGCTCTAAAAGTTGGACAAGAGAACAAAAGGAGAAGAAAGCCAGGCACAGGAATCAGGGGGCAAAGGCTAAGCTTTGCAAGAATGGGTCAAGAACTATGAGCACATCCGGGTTATAGAATGAAGGGCCAGGCCTCACAGGCTCTGAGTCTGAGGATGTTTGTGGAGTCAGGTTATAGCTCTTTGGGTACTTTTGAACAAGTAGATAACACCATCAGGTCACAATTCTAGCAAGGATCCTCTTAAGAGTAATGGATGCCTTATTGGGAAGCTCGTTAGGGACAACTGTATGAGCTCATGTAAAGAATCAGAAAGTTCCAAACCTGGGAAAGATGAAAACAATGGAGAGAAGCATCATGGCTAACAGTATTCTACAGGCAGACATCAAGCTCTGGCTCCTGCAAGCAGCCACTCCTTCATGCAATCCCCTGTGACTGACATTTGATGATGAGAACATGGAGTAGATTTTAAAGACCGTGGCTTCTGAATTGCTGGGACTCCCTGCTTCCTGCCTCGACCTTTGCACCTTGCTGGAACTTCTCTCACCCACTTGAATGAAGCCAGCTTCTATGTTGTATGATGCTCGATGAAGAAGATTCTGTCCAATAAATAGTCCTTGAGGTACCTGCAAGGAACTGTTTCCTACTAACCGTACCATGAGTGACTTTGGAGAAAGGTCCTTTCCTGTGGAACTTGGAGATGATGGCAGCCTTCTGAGAGGTACTGAGCTGGAAGACCAGCTAAGCCATGATTCCTGACCCACACAGACTGACAGTCAATTGAATGTATGTGGTTCAGAAGTGACACTTCAGAGGAATTTGCTACAGTGATATATAACTAATACAGGAAAGGCTCAGAGCAAAGAGAAGTGGGAACTCTGATAGATACCACTACAGAGAACCGGTTGTATTTAATGATTCAAAAGCTATAGGTGATGAAGGATTGTGAGAGGTCAAAATTAATTTTAAGAAGAGAACAGATTTTGGAGCAAGAATTCTTGACTTTAAGTCCTTGTTCTGGACCTTGCTAACTGTGTGACTCTGGGCAAGTCCTGGCAACTCTCTGAGCCTCTGTTTCTTCCATTGTAAAATGGAAATGACAGTAGTAACTACTCTACAGATGTCTGTCTTTTTCCTTTCAGGGCCTGCCTCAGTACCCATCACACTGATGAAAGACACACTGAGAAAGAATTCTCAGCAAAATGGTGGTGCAGCATTTCTAGAAGGCTCAGTATTCAGTCTTATACCAGCACGCACAAGACCCAAATGCTTCAGTGTGATTTCCTTACATACCAAGAAGCATTTGTTGAGTCCTGGTGCGTGGCCCAGTCCAGGGGAAATGGCACATCTGTTGAATTCTAACGTGTCTTGACTAGTCCTTTCCCTGTGCTCCGCTTATAGGTGCAACTTTCCTCCCAGGGGAGTTAGGTGACCTGATCAGTTGCTGGAACCATAACTTTGGCCTCATGGACACTGAACTTAACCACATAAAATTAGCTGATTACATAGGCTTTTCCAGAGTCAAGTTTGGCTTCAGTGACCATAATAGCTTGGATTTGCCTGCTAAAGCCATGTCTGGATATCATATCACATAGTTCTTATTTCCCAAAGGAGCACCAACAGATAGGAGGTGGCCTTACCTGTCCGGGCAGGGCAGGCATGGAATCAGAGGCCACCAAGCGCTGAAAGCGCTGGGGTTGCTGCATTATCTGCTGCAAGAGGAATGAAGACTGGTCAGGCTGCTGCGGCTGCTGCTGGAGCTGCAAGGTAGCGGTGGCAGTGGATGAGGCAGTGGCAGAAGGAGCATGTGCTGGTGTCGCCTGCGGCAGGTAGTGGAACAGTGATGGCTGCCTAGAGGTGGCAGGCATGGAGGCCATCTTCTGTGGGCCTGGCTCAGAAACGAAATGAGACAAGGGCTTGGTGTTGCCAAAGATAAATGGCTCAGGTGTTTCTGAACTGGAGCTCGTCAGGCCCTGCTGCATGATCATGCTCAGGGTTTTGGGTTGCTGGTTGCTGGTCAATGGTTTGAAGATAGCATTTGCTTGCTGCTGTTGCTGCTGCTGCTGCTGCTGCTGCTGCTGCTGCTGCTGCTGTTGTTGCTGCTGCTGCTGCTGTTGCTGATGATGATGCTGTTGCTGCTGCTGCTGTTGCTGCTGCTGCTGCTGATGTTGCTGCTGCTGCTGCTGTTGCTGCTGCTGCTGTTGCTGCTGCTGGCTTAGCAGATTGCTGTTGGGAGTGAGGCTCCGGATCAGAGAGTACTGTGGAGTGAAGGACTGCTGTGGCAAGCCTGGGCTAGAGAGATTCTCAGGGCGATAGGGTGGGGATGGCCCTGGGGTGCTGGTGGGCAGAGCAGATATCAGGTGTCCTTGAGGGCTTTTGACTGTAGAGGACACCAGATTGGCAAGAATGGAGCTCTGGGGGCTAAACTGTGGCTGCTGATTGAGAGCCAGGCCTGGGAGCTTCGCAGGGGCATAGGGCAAGTTGGGCCCAAGGGTGGCGTTGCTGCTGGGTGCCATGCTGGAGAGTAAGGCATTGGGCGAGCTTTGCACAGTGCTGCCTGACAAGCTATTGGATGACATGCAGGATGCTGTGAAGGTTTGAGGGCTGAATGGTGGTGGGGGTGGCGGTGGCGGTGGCGGGTGAGGTGATGGCACTGGGAAGTAAGGTGGGGAGAGGCCTGGCGGAGGCAGACTGGACCAAGTACGGTTGGACCCTTGCTGCTTTGTGCCAGATCCCTGTTTGCTGGCTGCAAGAGCTTTCAGCTGGTGGGCATGATGCCACTGAGGCACAGATAATGGAGGCAAATTAACAGGGAGTACGGCCTGGACCTGGTTCTTGACTTGGGTCTGTGCCGTCGAAGAACTTGGTGAGACCATCTGCTTACTGGTAGGAGGGATGGAATAGCTGATGCCTGTGGATGAGGGCAGGATTGGAAGTGAGGTGCCAGTGACTTGACTGCAGCTAGAAGCAAACTCTTTGCTGGAACTAAGGCTATCCATATGTGGCATCTGAACCGGATGCTTGGCAGGGGTGCTGAGGGGTGCCTGGGAGTGATGTAAGACCAGAGGCTCTTCTGGTTTGCTACCGAGGATCTTCTCAAGGTCAAGGTCATTTGAAGAAGGCTCTTGAATTTTGGTTAGCTCCTCCAGCAGATCTTGAAGCTCCTGGTCCACAGCTGGCATGCTGCTGTTCTTCTCATAGTAAGGAACAGTGCTCCCTTTCAGCCCCGTTTCTGCAGTTGATGACACTCCAAATGGTGATCCCATGGCACTGCTGTTCACAGGATTATTGTCCAGAAGATTATTCTCAAGGACTAGTGATTGGCCGGCCACTCCCAGATCTGCAGAGCTAGGATTCATAGTTAAGTTGGGAATCTGCATCTCTGTAGAGAGAGTAGTGGAGTGGGAACCTGGGCCCATTGACAGGGTGACGTCTTCAAGGCAGGGCCTCTTGATTTTATTAGGATAACCCCCATCAGCCATGCCTGTAAACTGGTAGTTGTCTCCTTCCTGTCTTCTCTTACTGGTTCCCTGTAGGCACGTAGGGAAGGATGGAAGAGAGGGAATAAGAGAGGGAGAGGGAGAGAGGAAGAAGGAGAGGGAGTGAGGGGGAGGAGGAGGGGGAGGGGAGGGGGAGGGAGAGAGAGAAATAGAGAGAGAATTTTAAAAGGTTTAGCATATTAAAGTTAATGAGTGGAAGCCCACAAGATAAAATAGGCCTCTTCTCAGTTTAGACTTATACTTGTCAAAAATCACAAAATATCGTCTATTTTTAGAAAGATGATGATACTTGTTTCTTTGTTGCCGTGTCTCATTTAAACAGTCCTGTTACATTTCAAGCAAGGCAATATGCTGTCTGTATACTAAACAGGACGGAAAGTCACACAAAGGGTATTCTTTGTGCACTTAAAGTGACTATGCTGGAATCACTAAATGAACCCGCTGCCAAAGGAAGGGGCTTGAGCACAACCTAGAGCGAGCTGAATCATTTCCATTTCTACTTATCGACAGATAACCCAGTTTTGAAAAAGGCAAACCATAAAATAGATATTGACCTTTTATGTTGCCTCACTGTCTTTCTTAAATGCATCAGGATACATTGATAAAATAGAATTCAACAGAGTCACAGGAATGAAATGTAGCAGCCTAAGATACATTGTTTACGGGAAAGTACAAATTTATGAACAGTAACTGTAGTCATTATTTCCTTCCTTCCTTCCTTCCTTCCTTCCTTCCTTCCTTCCTTCCTTCCTTCCTTCCTTCCTTCTTTTCCCTCCCCCTCCCTCCCCCCACATGCATTGCTTGTGTATACTTAAAATAACTTGGATGAAACAATACCCAGTCCTGCTCATTCCCTTTCTATTCTCTACATTTCTGTTTTGTTTGTTTCTAATGAGAAAAATTTTGTAATGAAAGAAAAGCACAAGTATGAAGTTATTTAAGTAAGGAATTCCTCTTTGCAGCTGCATCCTCAGGTTGGGAAGCTAGGAAACAACAGGAAGAGGCCCCACTGTGGATCAGCACGTTGGCAGAGCTGTCCCATTATGTATAAAAGAAGCGTCTTCAGGAGCAAAGCAACACTCTGCTTCCTCAGTTTCATAATCTCATCCATGGTTTGATCATGTTAGTGACCATGACTTGTCTGTCAGCAGGGAAAGGGAGAGGAGATGGAGGAATGCAGGTGGGCATAGGGAAAGGATGCTGATCCTCCGAAAGTCCCTCACCTGCCAGTAGGCTAAATTCATGGCTCTCTTGGCCAAGTGAACATCAAAGTAGACCTCTGAGAACTATGTGCTTCAAGCCTTGCTGCACAAAAGAATCGCTTAGAAACATCTAGATTGTTAGGCCCTCCTATGAGAAATGAATGATCTTAGTTCCATCAGGGTAGAGCACAGGAATCTGTTTGTACACAGCCCCATGGATATCCAGGTTGAAAACTACTAGCCCAGTGTGTAGACACAGGCAGCATGTCATAGGGCCCTTGTCTTTATGCAGATAAAACAAGGACCTGCCATGGAGCCTGAGTTTGTTTTAGCACATGTGAGATGATTAGAAGGAGTTCTTATGTCCTGCTGCTGCTCTTTTGAGTGGAATGGGGTAGACTGTATGGACATGTAGGGCCTCAAAGGGTATGTGACGTTTCTAATGCAGATCTGGGAGGGGCCTGGAAATTCAATATCCTCTTATAACAATGGCTACCCTGAAGCCCAGGGAGGCCTTGAAATGCTCAGCCAGGGGCCAAATACCAGATACAGGTCCCTCCATGGCCGCACAGTTGTCTCCCAGTCTATCATCATCTTCACAAAGGGACTTAACCACCTTGAGAGGACTTGCACATGTCCTTGACTTTTCTGAGAAGCTTGTGACTCAAGCAAGGGCAGGAATGTTGGGCACAAGAAGAGGTCCAGCCGTTCCTCTGTGCCCAGTTTCCCACCAAGGAGTCTGCTTGAGGCTCAGCAGTCACAGTGTTCTCAAGCTGTTCAGGAAGCAGTTCACTAAGTGTTTGGCCCATAGCAGGTGTTCAGTAAATAGCAGCTGAATGAACCAATGGACAAATGAATCCAAACGACTTGGCACACAGTGAACTTGGCTATTCATTCAATCAATTATGGAGCTGTCCACAAACAAGTCCTGCAAGTTCCAAACTGATTTTTGGTCCATTCCACATTCTGCCAAAGAACTGAAGGAAATCTGATAGCCTAAAAATGGAAGGAATGGATCAACAGGTATCCATAGAGTGTGGATATTCATAATGATCTCCTTGCAGGGAACCGAGGCTAGCAATAGTTGGGTCCAACATGCTGCTTCATAGTGGCATGATGTGCACAGCAATTTTAATGACAGGAATCTATGCATATCCAGGCAGGCAGATAAAGGACTAAGGGCCAATGGGGGAGGTATGTGGTAGAGAAACTGTGAATCTGGAATTCTGGCTAGGTGGGCCTCTGAAATTCACTCGCAGGGCTCCTAGAGCTTTCATTTCATTGTTAGTCTGTCACGAACCTGTTGGAAATATGGTGGCAGAAAGTAAGGAAGGCAAGGTATTACCACTGGACTCCAAAGGGAATGTAAATGAGAGCCTGTATTCATGCAATAGTCCCCACTCAATTCTGGCTGGCTCTTCAGTAACAAAGCAGATCATAGGACACTTCCTTGGGGGTATCAGAGGGCATCTCCTGCTGACTGGATTTGATTTGTTATGTCAAGTCTGCAGCCAGGCAGTTTGTGGTGTTCATCACAGCGCACACTGAAGGGATAACTAATGAGAAGGAAGGATCCCCTTTGCTGCCCCCAGGCACGTCTGCTGGATGTCCCCCAACTAGGTTGCTGTTTTGGCAGAGGGGCAGCCTTGGGCTCTTCAGAGCTTTCGCTTTTCAATGAACTTGAATGGGATCTCACTTTGTTAGAGGCTGTGCAGCTCCACGTTTGGAATTCAGTGGTAGGAGCTTTCAACCGTTAGCCTGGGGTGCCTTTGGCTGAATAGTGATTAAACCAGCGAAAGGACATCAAGGACAAGGGAAAGTGGCTGTGTTTCCTGGGAAGGACGTAGCTTCAATCTCATAACTATACCTTTCACTGGGCGTTGGATAAGTTGAGGCATGGCACTGTGTTATTTGCCACTGTATATCTATGTGTGGGTACGTTTGTGTGCACGCACAAGTGTGCTAATGTGTGCACAGGTACACATGTATAGAGGCCAAAGGTCAGAGTCAAATGGTTTTCCTCTGCCTTGTATTTGTTTTAACTTTTGTTTTGAGATAGTCTCTCACTGGGACTTGTGGTTTCATGATTAGGCTAGACTGGCTGGTCAGTGAGTCCCAAGGGTTGACCTATCCCTGCCTCGCCAGTGCTGGGATTACAAATGGGAGTCACCACACTTGGATTTTTATGTGAGTACTAGGGATAGAGCTCAGGTCCTCATGCTTGTGTGACAAGCTCTTTACTGACCAATCTAGCTCTCTACCCCCCATTCTTCTTTGATAGCTGCATGATTTTGGCATTCATTTCAATTTGAGAGGCTGGCTGGGTTTTTGCATTGCGCACTTACACACTAGTGTCTTTGCCAGTCACTTGGACCAGTGGATGATACTACTGAGAGATTTTCCAGCAGACTTGCTCAGAAGAAAGTACTGAAGATACTGGAAAGCATGATGGGAGAAGCTTCAGAATAGGTAGATGGGGGTGCATGAGGACTGGGTTTATAGGAAGGGAGGGACAAAGAGAGAAGAGAGGATGCCTGGATACACGTAGAGGCTCAGGTAAGTATCTATATGTATACTATCCATGTCTGTATCTGAACATGTATCGTTTGCATATTGGTTTTAAGCAAAATGTCTCAATAAACTGAAACTCAAGTTTCTGTAGGATGAACAGGATTGTCAGCATTCCCAGAATTCAAGACATTAGGCTCTGGAGAATACCAAGTCGTTAGGATTGACAGGAAACTGTGGGTGCTAATTGGCTTCAAGAAGAGTCAGTGATGTTTGAACAACAAGACAGGACCCCATTCTCTATTGCTAGGTGGTTTGGAACAAGAATCTTGACCTACAGGTAGGGATTTGTTAATGCTCTTGCCTTGCCATGCACCAGCAGAGACTGCATGCTCAGCACTAGATGTAGATAAAGGCTCCTGCTACCAATCATGAGGACAAGTCATTTCCCTTTTTGGAGATGAGGGCCAGATGATTAGGCAGATGGTCTCAGGGTAGCAGGGGCTGGCCTTCCATATACAGTCCAGGCCAAGGCATCAGGGAGATGCCAGTATACACTGACTTCATGTGTAGCTCCCAACAAGGTTTTCTCCAGTTGCTGTGGGGCCCTCTATCCCATGAAGTGCTTCAAGGGAACCAGGTGAAGGATATGGATGATGTAGGGCTTCCTTCCTGACTGCAATTCTCAATCATCTGCTACCAGGAAGATGTAACTGGGGTACAGCCAGACTGAATAGCCAAGGAACCTTTTTCTGCAATACTTCTAAGAGGTGGAAGACATCAAAAGGTGGAGAAAGGGGGTCACACCAGGCTCCTGGGTAGCTCTTACAAGTGACAGAAGTCCCTTCAACTGGACAATGACAGGATTAGTGGAAGACACCCTCAGGCAGTAATTCCCAGACATTCAGCTTGCCAATAGAGTCCATGCAATACATAGACTGGCGGGCTGTCTAATTCTATCTTCATACTCTAAATGTCTGCCCTAGGTTGTGACAAACTGTCCCCAGTTTTCTATACCTCTCCTGAAGCTCATGCATGGATAGAGCAGCCAGCTGTCCCTACCTTTACAGCACAAAGCCTTTGCAGAGGCCTCAGATTTGACTGATGAGTGCATATAGGACAGGCACTCTCAGATCTCCCCCTTTCCCCTGCTCTTAGTCTACTCAGACCTTTCCATAAATGTCATCTTCTTGGCTGGATCTCCAGATGCAGAGTCCTTCGGGAAATAAAAGGCTCCTTCCTAATGCTGGTAATGTGACTAGCAATGGGTGGTCTGAATAGTTTTTTAGGGAGCTACTGGTATTGCTTTTTCAGAGACCT